ATAGGAACGGAGGAAGCACGAACCACGTCTCCTCTCCTTGATAATCCGCCCGAAGCAACGGTGATGGTAGCAACCTTCAAGTTCTACCTGAAACTGTGAGGTGGCCTCCCCCGTGAAGGGGAGGTCAGTACTTGGAAGCATTTGACAAGTACAATGACAACTATACTAAGTATAATCAAAGTTTCAATTTCCAAGACCCTCAATCTAGGATGTTATTATATTATAGGTCATAACCCATGGTTACCCTCTTTGAAAGTATACTTACTTTATATATAAAGTCAAGTAATCGCCCGAAGGCCCATGTTTACTTTGAAAACATTTAACCCTTTCCCCGTGACTTCAAGCCACACCCATCTATTTTAGTTTACCATGCTAGAGGCTTCCTCTAGTCATGTTTTGTCGTGCTAGAGGCTGACTCTAGTCACTCCACTTGGTGTTAGAGGCTTCTTCTAATCACCTTACATACATTATGTTGGAGGCTTCCTCCAGTCACATTACGTTACGCTAGAGGCTTCCTCTAGTCGTCCTACACGAATGCTGGAGGCTTCCTCCAGTCATTCTCCATCGTGCTAGAGGCTTCCTCTAGTCACGATACTAGTTCACTAAGCAAGTTCTATGCCTAGAGTTCCTCTATTATGAGTAGCCTTTGAGGCCTACTCCTACGGTAACTTAGCGTTTACCCATTTCTACCTTAAGGCATCTCATAAGACTACTTAAGGTGTACCTCTCTCACAATTCAAGCCCTTAGGATTTGTTCTATCACTTTTCACACTAACATTTCCGACTAGTAGAATCAATACTAATCCATTTGTATTTAAGCCACCAAGCTCTTTAATTTCTAGTTATAGGGCTCATTCCCATGAATTTCCCAATCCATATATGATTTAATCTCAATATCAAAAATATCACTTTTATCCATTCATGATTTCTATACATGAAGTAAAAGTATATTTCATCACGAAAATTCATGATTTATACATTCATCATATCATCATTCTTACAATGCATAACTATACACCATTTACTCATAAATTTGTATATTATGCATCTTGTATTAATAAACAACAATATTTTCATTAGGCATTATTAATCATTAATAATCCATGAAAATCACATTTAATTATCTTAGGTAATCTTATGAAATTAACCCAAGGATTATAAGCAATATAGTCGGTCATCCTCACCTTGAGTGAGCTCACGCGCGTTCTACGCTCCCCGGTTGAACTTTGACTAATTTCCGGTGAACTTTGACCAACTCCGGCGAACTTTGACCAACTCCGGCGAAACTCCGGCGAAGCTCAAAGATACTCTAAATCAAGTTCCTAACAAGGTTTTAACATCATAAAACCTTAATCAATACTCATAACCTCTAAAAGGTTATTTTCCGGTGAACTTGTCGGTTTGGCTTCTAAATCCATTTTTGACATAGAACCACCTTCCAACCCCTTGTTCCACATTTATCAACATGTAGAACAATCCTAGGGTTCTTCATAATTTCTCAAATAATAGTATATTCAAGAAAAATAGAGGAGAAAGGTAAAAGAAGTCATTACCTAGTTTTTCCCCGAGTTTCGTACACTTTTAGAACTTAAACTCTTCCCTGGAGCTTCCTTCTTGTTGGAGCTTCCTTCAACAATGGTGAGAGGTGGCTGGAGTTCTTTTTGCTCTTGTTTGGGGTGGTGTGGTCGAAAATAATGGAGAGAGGGGGGTTGGGGTTGGCTTTTTGTCTCAATAGGCAATTATGTGTGGGTTGAGAGACCCACCTTTGTCCTTTAGATGCCACTCAAGTCAACCCAACCTCTACCCATCTCCCTCCTCTCACTCAGCCGCCCCACACCTCATTTTGTGTGTCTAAATTCGTGGGTTTGCCCCCACCCATGTGGGAGGTCAACCCTTTTTGTCCAGAAGTGTACAATCGGTCCCGAAAGTTGTATTTTTCGGACTGTTTTAAATATATTTTATTTTATCGGGTCAAATAAAATATATTATGTGTTTCCAATCATTATGACCCTTATAATGAATATACATCCCCCAACTTTAATTTATAAGTTCCCGAAATTCATTTCGGGTTTTTATCCGTTAAATTTCCAATACCGGTAATTGAGCCCCTTTTTGACCAATCGGTCCACATTATGTCATTTATTTGGACCAAATAAATTTCCCACCACCATATAAATATTATCTAGACCAAGATAAATAAAATATACGGTTTCGGAAATTACGGGCGGCCCCCCTCTCCCGGTGTGGGCCCCGCGTGCGAATTTACTATTCACGCCAAAGAGTTGATAAAACTTCACACTTCGTATACTCACTAACCATTCCATAAGGTTCAATACATTAGTCACTTAAAAGTAAATACATTTGGGGACGGTGTTACACATTTTCTTAGACACAATTAACAATCCAACTCTAGAATTTCCGAAGCCACCGATAGGTAATTCCATACTTTTCTTTTGCTTCTCAGCGAAGTCGTTCACATTTTTGTGTAATCTTCATACCTAAATTTTCATAATTGTAGGAAAATATTATTTGGTGGATAAAGGTTATCCTGAAAGAGATGGATATTTAACTCCCTACCCCAAGACGAGGTACCATCAGTCAGAGTTCCGTGGTGCAAATCTGAAAGGAGTTCAAGAGATTTTTAATAGAGCTTATTCCTCTTTAAGAAGTTGTATCGAGAGAGCTTTTGGTGTTCTTAAATCTAGATGGAAGATATTGCAAAAAAAAATGCCAAGGTATTCACTAATGGATCAAAATGAGATAATTTGTTCATGTTTTGCATTGCACAACTATATCACGAGAAGCACAATAGTTGATCTGGGCTTTAAATTTATTGATGAGGATCCCGGATTCATACCTCCAGATGTATTTGAAGATATTGAAGGGGGTGCTGCACAAGCTGATGCAAACATTCGAAGTCAAGAAATGAGAGTTATCCGTAATAATATAACTTCTAGCTTGATGGAAGCTAGATGCATTCATAAATAATTTTGACTATCTTTACTTTATTTTAAGCTAAACTAAGCATGTCAAATGTTTGACACACGGTTTTACTTTTTATTAGTATTAATGAATTGTTTGAGACACATGATTATTCTTTTTCGTAATCGACGCTATTGATGTTTTTTTGCAATATAAAGTCATCTAATTTCTTTCTAAAAGATTTATTCATTTAGATTTATTATACTTTTATTTTAAAATTTAATTTATTCTTTTTACATTTCAAATAAAATACTAATAAATCTTTTGGTTGTCCCATTGGACTTTGCCAACTTTCCTTTTTTTTTGTCCCAAAAAACTTTGCCACTTTCATATTAAAGCAACTAATTTGTGGTGTTGCACATTTCTCTCTCCTCTGCACAAATTTCAACCACACAGTTTTTACTATTTTTATTTCTCACCTATTTTGCACTTGGCAAAGTCTACCGGGACGGAGGTAGTATTGTTTTTCTTAAATAATTTATTTTGCAAATAAATTATAGTTTTAACATTATCACTATCAACATTACTCAAATATTATATATACACTCATGCCCTTATACGTCTTTTTACATTCAAACAACTATTTTATAACAGCTAATTTTACCAAACATTTATTAACAACAAGCTAACATAACCGGTCAATCAAAACAGCTAACATAACCAGTTGTGATCAAACAGTTGACATAACAAGGCCTTAACAAGAACATCAGATTACAGATTCTTCAAAAAACTGTTTCAGACCATAATCCCCTCATCTTTAAGGAGTTTAAAACCACCGCTACACCAAAATCTTATAAATTTCAACACATGTCGCTCACTCATCATTCTTGTTTAAAAGAAATTTCCAATTCTTGGGATACTGAGTGTGAGGGCTATGGGATGTACAGATTTCACACTAAACTTAAAAGGCTTAAGCAACATCTCAGATCCTGGAACAAAAATGTTTTTGGAAATGTCTTTGATAAAATTACTGAGGTGGAACAAAAAATCTTTTTCATTGAAGATAATCTGGTACACCAACCTTCTGATGAAAACCTTAATCTTCTTAAGGATGCCCAGGCCAATCACATTAGGCTAATTAAATCGAAAGAGATCTTCCTGGGGCAAAAGGCAAAAATAAATTGGGTAAAGGTGGGGGATGCTAATACCTTTTTTTTTCATCTTACCCTTAAAGCCAAACATAAAAAATTATCCATCACTAAAATCACTAAAGATGATGGATACATAATAGAAGATGAAAATGAGATCAAGGAGGAACCAGTGAAATACTTCCAAAACTTGTTGACTGGTACCAATGATTACAACTACATTTCTATCCCTACTTATATTACCGAGGCCATTACTAAGTCTATCTCTGAGCAGGATAACGCCTTGCTTATTGCTCCGGGCCTCCGGTTAACTCCCAGGAAGTTAAAAAGGCAGTTTTCTCTCTCAATGATAATAGTTGTGCAGGTTCTGATGGCTTTGATGGTAAATTCTACCAAAACTGTTACCATATTATTGAAAAAGACCTTCTACAGGCTATCAATGAATATATGTGTGGGGTCTCCGTCCCCAAATCCATTGGTCACACTCTTATTTGCTTTATTCCTAAAGAGCAAAATACAACTCAATTTTCTAAATACAGACCAATTAGCCTAAGTAATTTTATTTGCAAAACTTTTACAAAAATTTTGACAACCAGATTGACCAACATCATTCCTAAGTTGATTTGTGAGAACCAAACAGCTTTTCAAAAAGGTAAGGAAATCAGTGATAGTATTTTAATGCTCAAAGAGATGATTAATTGCATTGATCATAAAAATAGAGGTCACAACATTTTACTTAAATTTGACATGCTAAAAGCTTTTGACAGAATAACTTCGGGTTTTATTTATGATATTTTGCGTGCTTTTGGCTTTCACCCCCACTTCATAAACCTCGTTCACAACAACCTTGAGAGCACTTGGTTCTCTGTTTTAATTAATGGGCAGCCTAGTGGTTTTTTCTTAGTTAATGGGCAAAAAAAATAATGGGCAGCCTAGTGGTTTTTTCAAGCCTAACAGGGGATTAAAACAGAGTGACCCCCTCTCCCCTATACTGTTTATTCTCATTTCAGAAGTTCTCTTCAAACACTGTAACAAACTGTTCAGGGAAGGTAAATGCATTCCTTTTCATACTTATCCTGGTCAGCCTATTGTTTCTCATCTCAGCTACGCGGATGATTTGGTTATATTTTCTAATGCAGGTAAAAGATCTCTCACAGCCTTGAATGCTTGCATCCAAGATTACGAAAAGCTCTCTGGTCAGAAAATTATACTATTAAAAGTTTTTACATCTGTGGTAAACATGCTCCTAAAGCCACCATTAAGAATGCTGGAAAAAAAATTGGTATCCAAAAATGTTCTTTCCCATTTACTTATCTTGGTGCTAATATTTTCCAAGGAAGGCCTAAGATTGGCCACTTCGATAACATTGTCTTTAAGGTTGACCAAAAGTTGACTGTTTGGGAAAATAAAATTTTAACTCCTGGTGGCCGTATTACCCTCATTAATTCTGTGCTCACCACTCTCCCCCTGTATCATATGGCTAGTGCTATTATCCCGAAAATTGTTCTTCAAACTATTGAACAAAAGTGCTCCAGATTTTTGTGGTACAATGCTGATTTTAATAAACGTCATATATGTAGAAAGTGTAATAGGATTACTTATCTTGTTAACGAAAATGGATTGGGCTTCAGAAATATTTTCTCTATTCAAAAATGCTTCTATCATAAGTGTTTATGGAAAGCCACCAATAACACTGGTTTATGGGGGCTTTGGTTTTCTAAGCTTAAAACCCTCAGTAATTCTTATATGTGGAAAGGTTTGTCTAAGGTCAAGCATGATTTTGATAGTCTTACTACTCTTGTGATTTGTACTGGTCAGTCTTCTTTTTGGAATTCTAACTGGTCTAAATTTGGCAGGAAAGGAGCACTCCAACAATGAGGGGATTTTGCACCATCAAATTACCGTCAAAGAAGCCTATCACCACCCTTCCTTTTTTCAAGAGATATAGACTATGATGCCTGAACACATTCTTAATAGCATCAATAATATTATTATCATTTCTTTTCAACCAATGACATCATGGTTTGGACCCTTACTCCTGCAAGATCCTACTCCTTTAAAAGTGCCTATGAGGAAATCAGGCCTAAAAGAGGTATTCATAATATCATTCAAAACATTTGGAATAAAAACATTCCTATTAAAATCTCTTTCTTCATGTGGAAGGTGATAAACAACTTGCAACCTTTTCAGGAAAAATTACACATCTTTGGCAGTCATGGCCCCTTTAAATGTCCCTTTTGCAATAATGTTGATACAACAGACCACTGTTATTAATATCGTGAATCATTACAGTGAGTCTCTAAATTCTATTTTAAATCACTGGTTCACTGCCAAAGATGATTTTGAAAATCTTAATAGCCAGGTTGCTATCTACATTTGTTGGATTGTTTGGAAAAGAAGAAACATGTACATATATGATGATATCGATATTTTAATTTCTGAGGCTATTGATATTATCAATAAGGAGATTCAGGATGTTAGTTGGGCCAAACCATTTGTCACCAAAGCCACTGATCCTCCCATTTTAGACATCCATATTATTAAACTCAAGTTGAAAGTTAAAAAACATACCAATCGAGTTCTTAGTTGGGCTAGACCTACTGTCAACTTTATCAAAATTAACATTGCCATCAGAATTACAAGGGACGAGAATATTATTTCTGGAATCATCATTCGGGATAGCCAGGGACACATGATACATTACCAGTTCAATACTCAACACTCAACACTCATAATGACTACACTTCCATATTTTGTGATATTGTTATCAGCCAGAAAAATCTGTTTCATGCTAACAGGTACACTAACATCATCCTCGAGAGTGACAGATTACAGGTACTCAAGACTATTCAAGGAACTGAAAGCCCAAGGTGGACAGCAATAACAAACCTTCACGCCTTTAAAGAAATATGTCATTTGTTCATTTTGACTATTCTTACATAAAGAAATCTTGTTATAGGGTGGCTTATTTTGTTGTGATTATTGCAAACTTAATTACTAATAGCCCAAACTTCACACAAATTTTCAGGGTATTCTCAAATGTGATGCAATTAGCTACCCTTATGTTGTGTAATTTTGGTAGGTTTTGGCAAAATGTCCCCCTACCATGTACTTTTTTCCATGAATAAACAAGTAAGGTGCTCTTATCAAAATAATACACACACACACAAACACACATATTCAGTGTTTTAAATAGTCGGCCGCTACGGCTTTCAAGGCCGTCATATAGTGGTCGCGGTAGTGGTACGGGCCGCTATCAAGGTGTGATTTTCAAATCGCAGAAAAATCCGCTAAGCACTACATTACCGCTACAGTCCGCTACGCCGCCCGCTACAAGATGCTATCGGCACCTCCGGCTGTGCATCACGAACTAGTCATGGACCGGGCCCGGTCCGGTTTCGGTTCGGGCCTGGAGGTGTTGGAGTGAAGCCCGGAACCGGCCCGGGCCCGGTTATTTTTTTTAATTATTTATTTCAATGCCAACCCCCCCCCCCCATCCCCTAAACCCCTCAGAATCACCCAACCCAGCCCATCTAAACCCAGCACAAACAAAAAAAAAGGCCCGAACCGGCCGGGCCGGTTCAGATTTTGGTGATCTTGGAACCGCCCCGCCTACCCTCCGGGACGGGCCTAGACCCAGGACCGGTCAACCGGGCCGGTCCGGTCCCGCACAGTAGCGGGTCGGGTCACGGGCCAGTCGGACCGGACCGGGTCCACCACTATCACGAACTGGCTGATGTGTAAATGTGTAAATGTTGTGTACATGATGTGTCAGTTGGGTCAATTTATATAGGTATTCTGGAGGTTGTAGGTTGTCGTCTGAGCTTATCCGATAATTGTGTGTCTAGTAGGAGTATGGGCGGCCGAAGGCGTACTACTATGTAATAGTTTTCTAATTTGGTTTACATGCTATTATTAATATATTCGGCCGGCATGTGTGATTGAAGTACTGTCGGGCGGCCGATGTACTACTATTACATTATTGTTGTTATTATTTGTTTTGTAGTTGTATTATTTACTCTATTATTCTTATGCGCATAAATGTACTTGCTTCTATTACTAGTATTTCGTATATGCAAGTGTAATATGCGATCGTACTATATTCCTGTTAGTTTAATTTGTACTAGTAGTTTTAATTCTTCAATTTTTATTTCCTAAAAATTGTCACTTTTGTAATATTTTATCTAACTAATAAATTTATTTTCTGCCAAAAAAAAAAACTAATAAATTTATTTATTTTATTTTATTTTATTTAAATTTTTCGGGTTGTCACACCTACCCTCCAAGATGCGATCATACATCTTTGTTATGATGAGTCTTGTCTTGTTACACAAACCCAATGAGTGATCTATATTACGCAGCAGCATGACTGAAGTGCCAACTTTCATAGTTAACTTGTGGTTTGGCACTCCTGAGAGTAGGGATGGCATTTTAAACCGAAAAACGAAAACCGAACCGAAAAAAACCGAACCGCATTGAAAAAAAATCGAACCGAACCGAACCGAACCGATAAATTTTGGGACCCGAAAATCGGGACCCGACAAAAAATTAGTTCGGAATCGGTTTACATATGCAAAATATCGGTTTGAACCGAACCGAACCGAACCGATTTTTATTATTAATAATAATAATTTTTTTTATAGTTAATCGCGTGTGGAGAAGATATAATATGAGTCGAAGCAACTAAGGGAGTGTTTGCAACTGCTTAAAAAAAAGCACTTCTCAGCTTTTGGCTTTAAAAAGCACTTATTTACCAAACACTACCAATTTTTACTTTTTCTCGGCTTGCGTGTGAAAAGTGCTTTTCCCTTTTCTATTACACAAAAAGCACTTATTTTACCAAACACTACCAACTTTTACTTTTCAAAATCACTTTTTTCTCAAACACTATCAACTTTTACTACCAATCACTTTTTCATTACTTCTCCAAAAGTGTTTTTTTTTAAGCAGAAGCAGTTGCAAACACTCCCTAAGTAGCGCATCAGAAGCGGTAGTGGAGGGATTTCCATTGCTTGAATTATGCTCAACGTTGCGTGTTTGATTCCTACTTTCACCAAGTATATTTAATTTTATTCTGTAGAATTAAAGTTTTAGTCCTATCTTTTCCTTCCCATCCTACTTCGTCCCACACCGGATAAAAAGAGAAGATATGTCCCACCACAAATCTATATAATCAGGGATTCAGAGATAGCTCACTCCCAAGGATATGTACTACTCATATTGACTTGTTGAGTGGTTCTTAAATGGGCTCAAAATCCTTCAAGTAAGGTGTATTGGGCTTAAAGAATTGAATTGTCGTTCAAATTTAATTGAAGGGTCGGTTTGCTTCGGTTTTTGATGAACCGAACCGAAAAATTGGTGCCCAATAAATTGGTAACCGATCCACTGTTGGGTCGGTCTCGGTTAGTGTAATTTGAATAACGGAAAAAATGGTTCGGTTCATAATCACACAGGATCGGTTTGGGCCTTGACCCGAATCCAACCCTACTTGAGAGTTTAATACTATTCAAGTATTTTGGAGTGTGCAACTCTGCTATTAGATCATAAGTTGAATCAGATTTGCAAACACTATCCGAACTAAGGTATGAATCAGATTTGAATTTAAACTTATCATATAGTCGACCAAATAAGCCACCTCAAGGGTTGGAGCAAGAATAGCTCTACCTCTCCGGTAACTCGAATCAGTACTTGATTTTAAATAATCGGGATAAATGATCTCGACTATCTTAACAATGGGATCTCCAGAGTACTTGATAAGAATGTCATCAGGAATTTTAATCGAGACATGACCGTAGGGGTGGACCGGTTCCGGTTCGGGCCTCGGTTCAGAAAAATGAGGCCCGAGCCCGAACCGGTGGTGGGCGGTTCCGGGTCCGGTTCCGGGCCAGACCGGGCCACCCGGATTTTTTTTTTCTTCTCTTATTTAACCCCCAAACCACCCCAAACCACCTCAAATGGCCCAAAATACCTAATCCAACCCAAAACTTAAAACAATTTCAAAAAAAAAATTAAATTACGGCCCGAACCGGGCCCGGACCGCTATACCACCGGGCCGGGTGGCCCGAACCGGGCACAAACCGGTTCACCGGGCCGGTCCGGGGCCGCACAGTAGCGGGCCGGTCCGGTTCTGGGCCAGTCCGGTTCCGGGCCGGTTGGCCCTGCCCGAGTCCATCCCTACATGACCGTCATTGAGTCACCAACAATACCATCACATATGCTGTTGGACCCGAGATTTATTCAATTGCTGGCCTGAGAAATCGTCTTATGGGCCTAAGGCTTGCTTGGATTAAATGAAAGAGTTTGGCCCAGCGGCCTACTGATCTGATTGCGTGAAGAACAAGTACAAATCAAATTCCAATTGCAGATAAAGACGAAGTGGAGCAAAAGTGTAGCCGGTTGAATCAGACTTCCACCTATTTTGGTGGGAAGTTGAAGGCAATACGTGTAGTTGGAAGAATAAATAGATAAGGCTTAGCTCTTGAAAGGGAGATCATCCATATACGATCAATTACTAACACATACACTCGAATTCAACTACTCTGTAAACTTAAGTATTCAAGCATAACTATTCTCCATTTATATTCTTCGTATTATCTTTATCAATTCAGTTCATATTTGGTTCTTCATTGCTTGATTCCCATTTTAATTATATATTTTAGATTAGTTTAATTTCTGGTCAAAACAATTGGCGCCGTCTGTGGGAAATTCTTGCAAAAAGAGAATCAATTATGGCCGAAAGTTCTAACTCCCTGTTTAACGAGATTCAAGCACAACTAGAAGCCGTCCGAGAAGAGCTCCGCGCATCCAAAAGTTCCGACGCGGCACAATTAGAAGGTGTCCGGGAGGAAATGCGTCAACGAATCGCCTTCCTCTAAGGTGAAAATGACGCTTTGAGATCTCAGGTGCAATCGGTGGCATCCATAGCCTCAAGCTCACGACGAGGCGAGGATGTGGCTACCATGGCAACGAGACTGGACATGGGTTCGATTCCGGCTTCAACCGAACCTTTATCCCTCACTTCGGGGCCGACACATCTGGAGGAGCAGGGCCCTCAACTCGTTCCTTTCCACCCCCAAATCCCAGAAGGAACATATTCCGAAATCTGTTTGCACAGCCCCAGAGACAACATGTTCCAAATCATGTCGACATTCCCAGATATGTCGACATCAACAACCAGAGGCGACAAGTTCCAAGCCATGTCGACATCCCCAGACATGACGACATCAATAATAGAAGCTGTCAGGAGCCAGAGGTCGTCACCATATATTCGCCTCTCGAAGCAGCGGATCCGCAGATACAAACAAACTTGACAGATCCCTTGGCCGTCATCATGGAGGAACTGAGGGAATTGCGAGAGAAGTTCAACAGCATACCTGGAGTCCCACGTCCGCTTGACATGGCGACGCAAACCTGTTACGCAGACTCACCCTTCGGACGACATATCACCGATGTCGAGATTCCGAGGAAGTTCGCCGCCCCCTCAATGAGACTGTTCGATGGGACTTCTGATCCGGTGGAACGTGTCGCTCAGTACAAACAACAAATGTTGGCCGTCTCAGTCAGACCACATCAGAGAGAAGCTTGCATGTGTCGGGCATTTGGGACCACGTTGACAGGACCAGCGTTGACATGGTTCGTCAATCTGCCGAACGACAACATCAATTCATTTGCGGAGCTGATCAACTTATTCAATCAGCAGTTTGCAAGCAGCCGAGCCTTGGAGAAGCACACTAATGACCTCTACCGAGTAGTCCAGCGACGGAATGAACCCTTAAGGGATTACTTGCACCGATTCAACAAGCAGAAGGTGTCAATCCCCAGGTGTCACATACCGACGTCAATTGAAGCATTTAGAAGGGGGCTGCTGGAGGATTCAGAGTTATATCAGGAGTAGACGAAACACACTAGTCGGTCCTTCGAAGATGTCCAAGTAAGGGCACTGACTTTCATCCGTCTAGAAGAAGACTTACGATGTCGTCACAGACAAATTGAACAAGACGGGGGGCACGGAAAGTCAGAACCTCCTAGGAGACATGACTACAAGCATGGAAAGCCTTATTCGAGGCCTGAGGAATAAGTCGTCACTTCTGTGACAAGGTAGATCAGACGACATGATCGAAGTCGTCGGACGGGGGGCATGTCGTCCGATGGCAGACAGGTTCTTAAGAGCTGCAATCCGGTACACTTAAAGTTATTTCACTTTTAATAATTTTCTTTTGCATATTGTCATCACTCCCGTGATAAAATAGACCAGACGACATGACTGAAGTCGTCAGACAGGGGGCATGTCGTCAGGTAATAAACCTGACGAGACGATTGAAATCGTCTGACGATTGACGATAGACAGGTTCTGATGATAGATATTTAGTTTCATATACTTATTCTTAATTTATTACTTCAAACGATAACTAACTTAAGCATCGGAGGGCCGTTTGCTTCTAGCCAACGGCCGACGTCAACAAAATATTTTTGGCACAGGTACAACCAAGAGTTGACGATGACGGAATCCTAATGTACAACACCTCACAACACGTCAAAACACAATTGACGGGGGGCTTTCATAAAATAAAGCCTTACAACACGTCAAAACACAATTGACGGGGGCTTACATCAAACAAAGCCTTACAACACGTCAAGACACCATTGACGAGGGGCTTACGGAATTTTAGGGGAAGAAGTGGGGTTGTCATGTAAGCCAAACATGAGTATAAACACCACCGATTCTCCGCAATGTTTTGGCCAAAACGACAGACAGATCATACGTCACAAATGCTGACAACATCAAAGTCAGACAAACACAAAACAACAAAAGTACACGTACAAGTGACATCATCATGTGAAACGACAACGGCATCCAAAACTACAGAAAATACGCAACAGAAGCACGTGCTCCAAAAGCACGACAACACAAGCTCCAAAACATAAGGAGACAACATGAACGACATTGAGATACATCTTAAATATTCATGTCGACGATATTACTAAAACAACAAACGAAACAGTGCTTAAAGTTTTTGCAGGTTACGGTCACACTCACATAGTCAAACCCATCATTTATACAACGAGGGACAAAATCATAATTGCCAACCAAAGTGTCAACATCAACGAAGGTTGACGACATGTCTCACCAGACAAGTGACGAGTTGACAAAAGCGTCTTGTTACATGAATGACACATGTTGACAACATGTCTGATCGGACAGCTGACGAGTTTATATGGGCAATATTCAAGAATGGCAGGTAGCAAAGTTTTAAAGATTTCAACAAGTTGATGCTTGACGGCTTGACATGTGCGCAATATGCCCCAACTTCTCGAAAGGGGACAATTGTTGGACCCGAGATTTATTCAATTGCTGGCCTGAGAAATCGTCTTATGGGCCCAAGGCTTGCTTGGATTAAATGAAAGGGTTTGGCCCAACGGCCTACTGATCTGATTGCGTGAAGAACAAGTACAAATCAAATTCCAATTGGAAGTGGAGCAAGAGTGTAGCAAGAGTGTAGCCGGTTGAATCAGACTTCCACCTATTTTGGTGGGAAGTTGAAGGCAATACGTGTAGTTGGAAGAATAAATAGATAAGGCTTAGCTCTTGAAAGGGAGATCATCCATATACGATCAATTACTAACACATACACTCGAATTCAACTACTCTGTAAACTTAAGTATTCAAGCATAACTATTCTCCATTTATATTCTTCGTATTATCTTTATCAATTCAGTCCATATTTGGTTCTTCATTGCTTGATTCCCATTTTAATTATATATTTTAGATTAGTTTAATTTCTGGTCAAAACATATGCATGCAATCCAATCATAAAAAAACTTCAAGTCATAAGATTCTACAGGGCTATGGACATTTTGTAGCCTCATGTTTTTAATTAACCTAAGAACCATGCATTGCTCCCACATATAAGATGAATTAATCGTAACATTAACATCTTGCCTGGTTCCTTGCGGAATTACAAGTAGCACTTGACGAAAGTCTCCTCCCAACACAATTGTCTTACCACCAAATTGCTAATTTAAACTATTTGGGTTGGTAAATCTAAGAACATCACACATACTTCTATCCAATGCCTCTAAACAATATTGTAGCATTGGAGCTTCGTCCCAAATTATCAACTTACACTTGGTAATCAATATGGCGATTGGCGAGCGACTACCTTGAACGCAAATGGGCAATTCTGCCACCGGGTAGTATTAAGGAAGCAATGCCACTTGATGTCACATTTAATACTATGTCACCTTTGGACCTCAATGCAGCTGATAGAGTTCTCCATACAAACATCTTCCCATTTCCACCATATCCATAAGCAAAATACATCCCTCAACATTCCATTTCAACAGAATGCATGATATTTTCATATACAATATGTTGTTCACTTGTCAGACCTTGAAGCAATGTCTCGCGTTCTTCATGCATCTCTTGACAATCATACTGGAGCTCTTCTTGAACTAATATATTTTTAGAAAGTAAAGTTGAACTTGACTATGGATATGGCATCAGATGAAAATCACGTAAACTTTTCCTTCATTGTTGCAACATCATTTCTACCTCTATGGATTTGAATCATCCAATCAAAAGATATGAATAAAATGGTGGAAGATCGCATCCTGAAAGCTCAACAGCGATTATCTGACTTCATCGTCTGTTTTAACGTTGGTCCTCTCAGATTCTCATCACGATGTCTTCATAAGATTTGTAGCCCTTGACGTTGACTTTCATATGGAACTTGAATCGTGTACTTTGAATGTTTCTACAAAAAAATATGCTTGAAAGATTGATAGAAGGTCATCCTGAACGCCGTTTTCAAGCTTTATTCGTCTTCTTTTGATCCCGTCATCCAGTGGTCAATCCTATAGCTCTTTTATTATCAAATCTTCATCTTGAAACTCCCGGTGACCTCCAAAGCTCTCAAATCTCTCTCGAATTCATCTTGACTCGTCCCGATTTCTTCTCAAGCGCTGGTGTCGGACTCTAATTCCCTAATTTTGACTCCAAAAATACCAAACTCGAATCAACACCCGATAAACATAACTTGAACTAAAATTGAGACTTGTGACACCTTAAAGCTAGGAAAACCATCAAAAGCCAATCTCAACACGCATCAAATGCGTGTTGCAATACGGACTTGTCAGTGGTACACTGACCAATGAGAAACAATAAATCTGATGCATTCATGTTTAAAATATACACTCAATGATATAAAAATATAGCAGGCAATAAAACAGTCACAATGTTAGTAACACTGTATTTGCTAAGGAACGAGAATTACAAAAACAATTGATATAGATCTTGAGCCCAGGTCATAGAAGCCTCAACCTTGTCTCATCAGAAATCCAGCAACAGTGAACAGTGGCAGATGCGAATATTTCCGCTAACTGTTTCCAGAAGAGGGGACTTCAGCACTACAGACAGGACACACCTGCATGCATGAAAATCATAATACCTCTTTCATCATCGGAACCTTAACACCAAAAGGCAGTGAACCAATCATGTAGGCTAGATATCTATGATGTTTTTTCACTAAAAAAACTGCATATTTCATTATTTTAGATCACACTCCAATTGTTAATCAAAAGTATCATTCTGGTTTTGCCTTTTTTTATATTTAACTGATTCTGCTTTCACTCCCCTTTGGTTGATTTTTGGAGTGCTACTTTTACCTTTGCACCCCCTAACGTAGCAGCAAGAGAAATAGACAAGATGAAGCTGAGAAAAGGATCGAGACAATGAAGAATATAGATGATACACAAATGTGGCGTACCTTGTTTATTCTTAGCCAATTTTTTATACACTCAGGATGATATGAATGTTTGCAGGAAAGCACCGTCAAGGTCTCATCATTTTCATAGTCCAATCGACATATGACACATCTACAAAAATAATATAACTGTAAACACAAGGTCTTAACTTGAAAAGTAAAATATAAGATCGAGTGCTCACGTATCATTAAACCCGTCCTTGGTAATTTCTGCTTTGTAATTCATTGATGGCAAAGAGGCAATTGTATGTGGAGAAAGTCCCCTGGTCTCTGTTCCAACTACTTCACCCAATGCAATCAATTCCTGCAATACGTCAAAATAATTGGGAGACTAGACCATTATTAAATTTAAGCACATTATAAGTTCAAATAAATTAAACTGTTAAACATTCCAAATTCACCTCATAGGAGAGTTCATCGGGATCAACTTCCTCCCATGCATCCTGAAAAATGATATATAAGATGTATTTTGTGAATTCACACAACCACATGTCCATCACCCAACGTGGTATACTGACATCAACGTGGTATACTGACATCAGGAAACAATACAAAGGGACATAGACAGAACAACATGTATTCTGTCGCATATAAAATTACTACATTTGTCCCATTTCACTTGACATGCTTTCTTTTTTTAGTTCGTTCTACACTAATGTTGATTACCCGAATTCCTAAATCGAATACCATCAACATTTTTTACTTTTTCCACCTCACCTTTTAAACTGATGACTGTAGGACCTACGTGAGGGTCAAACTATAAAATACATAAAATTTTGTGTGTTTTAAGTTTTAAATTGCGCTAGAAGTAATAGATTGGCATCTGATTGCGACAACTACATGAGTAAATAAAAGCACTGCCTTCCACGTGAATTCAGACATAAACAGAGAAGCATCAACTTCTATTCCATTAATCCCACATCAGGATTCCTAAAAAAGAATTGACGTGTCAGACTAATGTGTTCATAGACCGCCAATACCACCGTAAAAGAAGGAAAGTAAAAAAATTAGCAAATTACACATACATTTATCACAAATCTGGAGGACCAATAAATCAGGGATTGGAGAATCTTTGGAGATCCCTGGTATTATTTTCTAGACAAGTCACAATCAGGGATTTGAGAATCCTTGGAGATCTTAGATAATACTCTCTGATTGTAATTATTGAATTATTGTTGTCTTTCTTTAGTTGCTTTCTTTGTTTTATTTCCAAACTCTTAAAAGCCTATTTAAGGGCTCATTGAACTGAGGGGATAGTGTGCAATTTTTGGGCAAGAAAAGTCAGAGGGAGTTGCCAAATACCTCGTGGTCTGATGACATCACTACTGATCTCCCAAAGAGGAGATCGGAGTCTCATCCCAATCAAGGATGTTGGCATTATCATTAGCAAATAATATAATAGGTTTAGAAGGATTTCCCAAAACAAAAATTGAGGGAGTTTGTGGAATTCTCGATTAAAAAAAACCAACTTATTGTGTTAAAATTTGCATAATTATATTCTTCCCAGTTAGCACCTAGTGCTCTTTAGAACACTGACATACAATGGGCTCAAAGAAGAAGCTTACCTGAGAGTTTTGACCATGATCCTCTTCACTTAGAGCTCTCCCTACATAAACTAGCAATGATGTGATATGAATACCCAACACAATAGCACAATAATGAAAGACGATTTTGGAATGTTAATGACAATTTTTTGAAAGACACATGCCTTCATTTAGTCCAGCAAGGGCCAGCAATCTAGCTGTCATTTCCCTCTCTTCAACTTCTTGTAGTGCTCTAGCATAGGCCTCATCACTTGGAAAAGCAGCTGGGTCCAACTCAATACCTTGGTTCTCATCATCACTTGCTTCATCACGAGCATGAAAATCAAAAGCATCTTCATCATCTAGATCTACATGGCTATCATCTACTTCACTGGGATCACCAGAGCTATCGTGGCGGTAGTCATGTACGTATTCTTCTTCACTGACATAATCACTCCCGTTACCATGCATTGTAAGAATCATATATGCTCTTTCCTTTTCCAATGAAGAATAAAGAAAAAATAAGAAATAAAGTCAGAAGCGAAGTAAGAATGAACTGGAAAGGATACTTGATTTATGCATTCCTCAATGAACTTTTGCAGCCAAAAGTCTGTATTAATGTTCTAAAAGGCGCTAGGCGCTAGTCGGGCGCCAGCCCAACGCCTAGGTGCCTAGGCGTGCGCCTAGTAAGGGACTAGTCGGAAATATAGAAATTGTATTTTTATCTATACTTTTGCATAAGTATGATAAGTAATATTGTATTTTTGTGTGTATAAAATACATATATACATATACATTAACAAACATGAATGATAAAATTATCACATTTAATCATACGTAGTATATGATAACTAATAACTTAACTTCATTATGTTATAAATATAAATAATGATAAAATTTAGGTATATATACAAACTATATAGTTTTATCTTAATTTACAACTTCATTTCTTTATATCCATGGCTAAAGTTAAAGTACATATATCGCTTAGAAAATTAAAATTAAAAAGTGAAGTAATGTTCGACAAATCTGGATGGCCTAGTCGGCCGATTAGGCGCTCTAGGCGGGCAACCAGGCGCCATAGGCGGCCGACTTATTCACCTAGACGGCAAACCAATTAGTCGGAGCGCCTAGACGAAAATCGGAGTGCCCGACCACCGCCTAGCGCCTAGGCGGGGACTAGTCGGGTGCCTAGAACGATTTTTAGAACAGAGGTTTGTATACCGAAAAAGGCGAAAATCTAAAATCTAAGAGGCTGTCGATCAATGTTTGATTTTAAAACTCAGAAAAAGAAGCAATCAAATGCACTTCCAACTTGTTTTCAATTAGAGCAGCTTAAGTTAGATATATCGAAGTGGGTTATACTTTATAAGACATTTTGGAAGGATATCAAGGCATGCAAACTTCTCAAGTCTCTAATACGGAGTATTAAATTTTATGGTCCCACAATAGCTTTATGATGTTTGACTGATGAGTTAATTTTCCCTATGACACTATTTAAATTAGCATTTATAGTTTAAATTTACATAGTTAGGACTACAGTACTACACATAGTGTTCTTTTGATTGAAAACAATTGAAATTAAATATTGTAAAAGTTTGATATGTAAAATCATTAGTGAATGAAACTTTATTCCAAGAATGGAGGCAAATCTGAAGACAATGAAAGGGAAAAAAAATGCCATATTCCAGTACAAAACATATTAGCTACACATCTAATTATACACCACCATGTATATACTTCGATAAAAAGGAATGACAAGGATATTGACATGTTTTCTCAACACCAAGAGTTTCCTAGTTTCACAAAGTTTCAGATTTCAAAATGTTATAGTTGATAGCTTCACAGTAGTTAGTAGTTGAGATGAGCTGTAAACGTTAGTCAGTTAAGTGTAATATGAAGTTAGTTACGTTTCTGTTGTAGCTTTCTTTCTACAAATATTCTCTAAAAGTACATGTATCAGTCATTAAACCGTTATTCCATGGAATACTGAAATCCCAATCTTAATCTCTCTTTCACTTCACTAAACTCTTCTTCTTATCTCTACTCATTAATACTCGAAGAGTTAAATGTCGTTTCCTGAGTTACTGCATTATTGGTAACAGAACAATTTCTTGATCCAAATCTTAGTCCCAAAATAGTTTGCGGTGTGCATGAATCGGGGTTTAATGCACCAAACCCCCTCGTGAAATATAAATTTGGCGCATTAGCACCCTGTGATTTAAAAAATGTGTCAAACTCCCCTGTGTTATAATTAATCATGCGCAAAATCCCCTCCAAGAACAAATTTTACAATTTTAGAATCACTTTTCTTAATGATATGATTGAAGAATATACATGTAATTTTGTCAAAAGTTCTAGACTATACAAAAAAACTAATCATTTTTCATTTTTTTGGAAGTTAAGTTTTACTCGGAGGGCGTTTTGCGTTTGATTAATTATAACACGGGGGGGGGGGGGGGATTTGAGGAGGGGACTAATGAGCCGAATTTATATTTCATGAGGGGTTTGGTGCATTAGACCCGTATGAATCGACACATGAAATTGGAGATAAAAAGATACGAAAGATAACAACGATGACAACAACATCAAAGCCTTGGTCCCAAAAGATTGTGGAGTCAGCTAACATGAACCCATAATGATATCGGAGACAAAAAGAAAAGAAAGATAAGATCAGATAAAATGGATAAAATAAATACTCCGTCTCGCTAAGATTGTCCCATTTTACCTTTTTGGAAGATTGTCTCATACCAAATTTAGTAAAGTTTGTGTGGCTGTAAATCATTCTTACTTTATTTTTACTTTTTCAATTCAATATCAACAACATAAACTCACTTTTCTTAATAATTGTGCCACCTACCGTCCCAATGTTAGTGGGACGGAGGTAGTATAAGATAAAGATTAAAAAAAGGACAAAACTATATATATATAAAATTAAAAGTATAAAAGGATACAGAGCATAAGAAAGATAAAGAAGATAAATAGATAAAAGAAAAAAGAGAGAAAAGAGATCAATCCTACACGCGAATATTCGTCCTCCACTTTTTCTCTTCAAAGCTATACTCTCAAGTCTCATCCAACCCAAGAAGCATGTCACTCCTAATTCATCCGATCCACGTCTGTTTGGGTCTTCCTCTACCTATACTCCCCAATCTCTGCATCTTCTTCACACCTCTCAAGTCTCAACTCATCTAACAGGTGCATCACACGGTCTTCTACATGACCAAACTATCGCAATCGAGACTCCAACATTTTATCTTCCATAGGAGTTACTCTAACCTTTTGTCTGATTATCTCATTCCTCATACGATCTTTTCTGCTATGTCCACACTAGGGGTGCATATGAGCTGAACCGAGCCCGTACTCACATAAGCTCGAACTCGAGCTCCATAATATTTTCTATGCTTGAGTTCAGCTCGAGCTCGATCAAGCTTAAATATTGAAACGCAAGTTCGACTCAGATACTTTGCCTAAGCTCGCGATCCACTCGAGATTGACTCGCAAGTTCAGGCATTTATCCAAATCTAAGCAACTCTTCTACTCTTGTTGTTGTGTTAAAATTGATCTTGAAATTTACTTCAACCTTATTCTGTATGAGCTAAAGAACTAGCAATTATTACAGATTATAATTATTACTGGTTATTATAATAATAAATATTGTTATATATTTTATAATTATTATATATAAAATATGTATACCCACACCAAGGCTCGTGAACCGACTCGCGAGCCACAAGTCAAAAATAAATAGGCTTGAATTGAGCTTGTTAAGTATCGAGTCGAATCGAGCTTGAATATCGCGAAGAGCTAAACTCGTTTATACCCCTCTTCCACACATCTAACGCAAGATGCACATCTTTAACACTCATCTTTTGAATGTGACATTGTCTCACCGCCCAATACTCTACATCATACAGTAAAGCAGGTCTAATTGATGTACGATGTAATTACCCTTCGGTCTAGTCGGCATACCTTGATCACATAGAAATACTAACACACTCCTCCATTTCTAATTCTATTAGATACATCTCCATCTAGTTCATTGTTCTTTTGCATTATGAAGCCAAGCAATGGAATATATCACAGACCGCCACCGGGGTATCTCCTTGCCATCAAGGGTGATCCCACTGTTACCCTAATTTTTACCTGCACCAAACTTGCACTTCATATAATCAGTCTTGCTTCGACTCAGTTAGAAACTCTTGGTCTCCAATGTTTGTCGTCATACTTTTAACCTTGCTCTAACAACCAATTGTGTCTCATCAATCAAATACAATATCGTCGATAAACATCATGCGCCACGATGTATCTTCTTGAACGTAAGTTCATCCAGGCTGGCAGGCTCAAAGTCAATCCATGGTGCACTCTAATAGTAATAGGGAACTCTACCGTTCTCCCCACACTGTTTTGAACGTTTGTAGTACAAGCATCATACATATCCATGACGATGTTGATATGCCCTTCCTTTTTAGGATCCACCAAAGGACATCTCGAAGTACTCTATCATATGCTTTTTCTAAGTCGATAAACACCTAATGCATATCACTTTTAGTGTCTCTATACTTCTAATACATGTGTGGTTGGGATCTCGCTTCAAATATAGGAAAATAGAGAATATGACAGAGGAATAATAAAATAATCCTAAGCTAGAATGAATCGGTGCCTGACCTTGTCAAGACACACAAGAATTAATTCTTCCTAAGATGTTTATTCAATAATAGTGATGACCCTTATATAGTTATTACAAGAGTCATAATTAGAAAAGGAAATAAATGTTAACTAAGAAGTTGCCTAAAGCAGACATAGAAATAATAATAGTAATAGTAGTAATAGTCGTAGTGGTGGCGGCGGCAGGAGCGGTAGCGGTAGCGGTGGCGGTCGGTGGTGATGGTGATAGTAATAATAGTAATATGTAATGTTTCTTCTCTTGTATCAACTTCTCCACAACTTAACTAAGAAGGTGAATGATCTCAATTGTTGAGTGAACAGAGATAAAACCGAATTGATTCTCTTAAATCTCCACACTTCTTCGGAGTCTTTGCTCAATCACTCACTCCCAAAATTTCATGGTCTGACTCAAACTTAATCCCTTGATAGTTGGCTCATTCTTGTACATCACTCTTATTGTTAAATAGGAAAATAAGAATACTCTTCCACCAACTTGTTGGCATTTTGTTGTTCCTTTAAGAAGATAAGAAAGATTAGAAAGAAAGAAAGAATGAAACTATTTTCATCATTAAATGGAACCAAGCACCTCACACTTGCACTATTGTCCAATAAGATTGAGGAGTTGAAATTGTTGGAGAAGTTTTGAAAAACAAAGCAAAACTCTGGAAGAGAAAAATCTAGAGCTGAAAAAGAGTTCTGAAGTTCAATTTGCTCAAATCCTACAATTGCTATATAAGTCCCCTCCGCTCAGGCATGACAACTCCAATTCGCAACAAAACAATGGCAGAATAAACTTGGGATCACATAAATTATCTTAAAATCTAGAAAATATAAACAATCACCAGCAAGGTCATCATTTCAAATCATCTCGATGGGTTACAAAATTGGAATTTCCTGTTTTTATGGTTATGGTCCTCATGATTGGATGAAGAATTGTGCTAAATATTTTAATTTGTGTAAGGTGAATGATAATAAAATTAGATCTAGCTTCAATAAGTATGATTGGAAGAACTAACTTTTGATTTAGTGCTTTTATTTCTGCACAAAAGAATGTTCTTTGAGAAGAATTTGGTGGGTTGTATGTGCTAGTTTCAAGGAAAATATTGGTGCTAATACTATGAAAGCATTTAACGAATTGCACTAATTGGTTCTTTAGATGACTATCAAAGATGTATTTAAAATTATGAGAGGTTTAATGATACAAAGGAACACAATTCCTCATCAATACTTCCTTAACAAGTTTATTGGATGGTTAAAACCTTACAAAAGAAACTTTGTTGGGAGTTGGGACACTTAAGCCTGCAACCTGATTGAAGTTGTGGAGTATACTAGATATCGGGGAGAAAGTGTGAATGCTGCAAGCAAAATTCGCCATGAGGGAAAGACTTCTTTTAAAGCTCATTTTTTAAAATACTGCAAAGACAAAAACATACCACCCTTTTACTCACATCACAAAACCATAGAATCCCGCCCAAGCATAAAGGTTTATGCTTCATGTGTTATTGGCCCTATGATAAGAATCACTAATGTAAAATTAAGAAAACTTAGTTGTCTGTTGTTGAAGTATCTAGCTATGAAGCAGAAATGGATGAGGGTGGAATGGATAAGGGTATGGGGGAAGTAAAACTTGTAAAAGCAATCAGTCATTTCAAACCATGATTGACTCTGTTTGAGCAAAGACTTCGAAAAAGTGTGAAAGTTTCGGAGAATCAGTTTGGTTTTTTATCTGGACGCTCAACAACTGAGACCATTCACCTTCTTAGAAGGTTGTGGAGAAGTATAGAGACACGAAAAAGGATCTGCATTTGGCGTCTATTGGCTTAGAAAAGGCATGTGATAGGGTACTTCAAGAAGTCGTTTGGTGGGCCTTAACTACAAAAGGCATATCATGTAAGTATATCAGTATCATCATGGATATGTATGAGGCTTATACTACAAGTGTACGTACTAGTGTAGGGAGGACCGCAGAGTTCCCTATTACTATCGGAGTGCACCAAGGATCGACTCTGAATCCTTTCTTATTTGCTGTAGCGAATGAACTTACGAAGTCAACTCAAGAAGATATACCGTGGTGCATGATGTTTGCCAAATGTATAGCCTCCACGACCTCTTCCTCTATAGGAATTGTTACTATTGTTATTGTTGAACTGAGCCACCTGTGTCGAAGCACTGTCAGAAACACTTCCATTGGCTGAAGGAGTATTTGGAGTAGAGATTTCTAGCCGGGCAACATTTGCAGATAGAAGACTTTGCTGAGATGATTCACGAAGCTTCTGAAGTCGTATCTATTTGGCAGATAGAAGAGATTCCACTTCAGAGAGAGTTGGTGGATCGAGACTGCTGCAAGAGGAGATTCATGAAGCGAGCGACTCATATTCTTCAGGTAGGCCTTTGAGAATCACAATGATATGTTCCTTAGATGATATCAGTTCACCAATCGAGAGAAGATTGTCTGCAAATGTCTGAATACGAAGAAGGTATTCAGAGATAGATCTATCACCTTTCGTTGTGTTATACAGCTCGTATTTGAGTTGCCTAACCTTCGCAACAATGCTGGATTTGAAGAAAGTGGTGATTTCACTCCATAGTTTGTGTGAGTATCAGCAATGGATGATGCGAGCATGAAGCGCTTCCGAAAGTGACGTAAGCAACCACGAAAACAAAATTTGATCTTGTTGTTCCCAGACAGAGTACTCTTCGTTCACAATTCCTGCTGCTTCATCTTTGTTAGGACAAATTGTCGAGGAATTACTGGTTTGACAATAAACTTCAAAAGTTTATGTGCGCGCACAACGGATTCTACATGGTGTTTCCAAAAGATAAAATTGTTAGCATCGAGTTTGATTGGAAGTGGATGTGTGAAAGTCACCAGTGTCGTGGACTTTGTGGAGGTTGCAGAGTCGGAGGAGTTTGTGATCGTCATGGATGGACCAAGCTAAAGCTCTGATACCATATTAAAGTTTAGAGAGAGAGAGATAAAAACTAACAGAATGATATCTCATTGATAAAAGTGTACGGGTACAAGTATATATAGGGTTGTTAAGTCAACAGACTACTTAACAACCTAGACACTAGCTGGCGGTATATAACAGAGTATAACAACTCAGAACTTCTAGTCTATTACAAAGATATATGTCTAACAGGTTGTCCCAAAACAAGTGTCACATTTCCTTTTTTGGAAAGAAATATGTGGCCTACAACATTTCAAATTATTATAATCAAATCTCAACGCAACTTTTACTTTTTCAACTACCTTTTTAATAATTGTGCAAACCAAAGTAGGACACATAAAATGAGACGGAGCCACGGAGGTAGTATCATACAGCAACTATACCAGGATTGTTACAGCTTTTGCATATATTACTGAAAATGTATAACTTGACATATCCATGGATTTCATAATAGGACTTCTGAAATCACATGGGAAGGAAGTAATATGGGTAGTAGTTGACCATTTGAGTAAATATTCACGCTTTGTGGCTCTGTTTCATCCTAACGCATCAGCTAAGGTGGGTTGAGGTTCAAGCCTACCTAGATAATGTGTTTAAAGTACATGGATGGCCTAGGAGTTTTGTGAGTGATAAGGACTCTATATTCCTAAGTCACTTTTGGCATACCCTTTAATCTATGCAAGTTACCAACTCATCATCTTATCACCCTGGTCAAACGGAGATCATTAATAGATGGCTTGAAACGTTTTTGAGGTGAATGACAAGTGAACAATCGGGAAAGGATGCTCAGGAAAACATTCAGCCTACTTTAGTCCAATGGAGCAGAATATAATAGCAATCCAGTATATAGTCCAATGGGAAGGATATCCAGTGTAAAGTAATCCTAAATTTGCAATTGACTTGAGGGAGTCTGGTTTTGAAGGAGGAGGAATGTTATATCTGATAGTTGACCAGTAGTTAGTTAGTTGAGCTGACTTGTAACAGTTCTTCAGTTAAGTGTAAATCAGAAGTTAGTTACATTTCTGTTGAAGTTTTCTTCTACAAATATTCTTAAGCTGTACATATATCACACATTCAGCCATTCTTTAATGAAACCCAATCTTAGTCTCTTTCTTTTCTCTCAACCTCTTCTTCTTATCTCTACTCATCAATACTCAAAGGGTTAATTGTCCTTTTCTGTAACTCAAAATAATACATTCATAGTTCGCAATCTAACCACAGCCACATAAAAAAAATGAAAGGGAGATGAAATAACCGTGGGGGAAATATATCAATAAATTACTTTGAAAAAATTATCATAGAAAAGCATGGCAATATAAATCCAGCAAATTAGTCAGGACCATGAACCTGCTCCTGTAAGGTACGGGCAAGGGCGAGATCGGCATCTATTTGGGAGAGGTCGGTGAACGGAGTTCTCCAAGAAGGCTGTGGCGGTCCTTGGCCGCCTTGATTTACATCAGTACCAAATTCTCCCCTGCCGTTCTCATCCAACACTGGCGCAGGCATAACACTGTTGTTATTACATGTCGTATTATTGGGTCTTTCACTGTGGTCGGCTGCTGTAGTGCTTTCAGCCACTTCTTCACCGTTGTTGTTTACATTATTTGTTTCGGCTTTCTCCATGCCTTGATAATTCAAGATCGCACCTGAACAGATGTGAATGGATGAACGAGAGGTGAATGCATTCAGAAGCAAAAAATAACAACTACAAATATGAACCGGATATTCAAAATGCCGAAGAAGATGGTGCGCAGAACTACGAAAAACAGGAAAAAGTGAAGTAAGAAATCTGGCAGACAATGGAATACAGCAGTGATTTAGGGAGTGTTTAAAGTGGTGGGTGTCCACTAACGGCCATTCCTGGCTCGGCTCCGATAACGCAATTCCGGGAGGAGTCGGTAGTTGGGCACTGGATCCCTTCGGACCTGGAGAACGTGTGACGCTGGGTCGGGGTTTGTTTACTGCTGCTTATGCTTAAAAAAAGCGAAGTAAGGAAAAGATGATTGCTAGTAAAAGTTGATAGTGTTTGAGAAAAAAGTGATTTTGAAAAGTAAAAGTTGGTAGTGTTTAGTAAAATAAGTGTTTTTTGTGTAATAGAAAAGGGAAAAACACTTTTCACACGCAAGCGGAGAAAAAGTAAAAATTGGTAGTATTTGGTAAATAAGTGTTTTTTAAAGTCAAAAGCTAAGAAGTGCTTTTTTTAAGCAGTTTCAAACACTCCCTTAGCCTTTTAGGGCATTGTTGATTTTGTTGAAAAGAAAGTACTCCGAAAGGATTTCTTTTGGGAGTACTCTGGGTACTTGCTAGTTGCAAAAAAAAGGAATGAGAGTACCCTGAGCTTTGATCACATATTCACATCTAATAATCTCATAAAAGAGTGTCAGGTATCATTTCAAATCGAACTCTATAGTTTATACCTCTTTCTCGTGGCACTCTTTTCGTACCAGGTGAACTACGTCCCCGATTAGTTGGGAGTTCAAAGTTTTACCAAAGATGACATAGTTCTTCGAAAAACTATTTGTACGTGTATGTGTGTACACACCATATTAGAGTATCTTCAATGCTACAACGTATACGGTGCATATTTGGCACGAGATTTAATATTATTTTCTTAAGGTGGATGGGAATATCTTGAGAGGGTAATTTAGTAGAATACTTGTAAAAATTTTCAAATTTTATGCTTAACTAGTCTCATGTTTGAAAACTAAAAAACACATCTTTTATCCATTAAAAATGATTTTTAATAATATTCTTGTCGTAAGTCGTTGAACAACCATGACAATCGAGCCGAGCTGGTTAAGCGGACGAACGAAAAGAGGAAGGATAGTATCATATTCATTCTCTACTCCGAAAAGCTGAAGGACGGTTTAGTTCATCGTGGCTCTCTCATCCTATGATTTATGATTCAAATTCATTGTTCTTTTTTATTGGTATATTTGTTCCGTTCTATGATGATTCTTTTTTTGAAAATTGGTGCTCTGGTGTGTTTTGTCTCACTTGGTGTAGGGAGGAGCATTTGTGGTTGTTGTTTGTGTTCTTTAGAGTTGCATAGAGAATGATAGAGATATGAAGATTGTTTCTGACTTCAGTTGTTTCTACGTGTATCCAGAACAAAGTAGGAAGATAAATTTTATCTTCATCCATATTGTAGCAGCTTGCTCTTCTCCGTAACTAGCTCATTGGTCTATGAATGAACTCTTTCTTTCAAGTTGTTGTTCAAGTCACTCTTAATTCTGGGGTGGTTTTTCAATTTGAGTTATTATGATTTAGTGTTTGTTTTTAGTTTCGAACTGGATTTTCTTTCCACGTGCTCTCTTTAAAGTTTGTTAGTACTCTCTAGATCATGGTGGGTGATAAGAGATATATTTCGATTAACTATGGCCTATTTGTGCCTAGTTTATGATCAATAAGTTAAGTTATATAATCTCTCAAAGATGATTAACTCGAAATCTTGTCTGTGGACAGGTGATCAGGAGATCAGGTGAGGACTGGTGATAGTATAACTTGCCTTTGATATTTTAGTACCGAGTATAAGCTATTTCTAATACAATCTAAAATCTTATAAGCATGAATGAGGGTTATACCTTTTGGGAATGGAATTTTTGTTGGTGTAACCCATAGAATTATTAGGTTGTAATAAATTCTGCTCAAGTTGTTGTACCCTTCATATTTCCTTGGTCATATTTCCTTAAGCTCTCACGACACCGCATTTCTTTCCGTCTGCGTTTTTAAACTTCAAACGAATCCACACACTTGAATACCTGATTTCATCTCTGTCAACAAGGCACCACATTTCCATCTCCTCAGAATAGGTGTTCTTATGGTACGCCTAAATTCCCAATTTTATTGATTTAAATTTGAATTTTAACTCAACACCTTGATACTTCGTACTCATCTTCGGATGTTAGCATGCACGCCCTCCGTAGTGGAAGAAATGGAGCCATATAATTTTATCAAAAAGATAAAGTTATTCACCCCCGAACATTAGTATAGTCCTCTAAACCATTAATTTATATGGCTTCATTCTAATTTGAAGATAAAATTAATAATTTACATTCTAAACCATTAATTTATTGAACTATTCCCATTGTACTTTTGTATACATACATATATTTCTTGATTGTAGCTTGTTTATGTGCTTTTTGTGTGATGGATTATCAAACGGCTGATGGATACAGGACACAGGAAGCACATAAATTGTCGAGGGTTTTCAAATAAATATGACTAGAAAAAAACTTTAAATAAAAAGATTATACAAGTCATTTTTAGTGCTTTGTATATCACTACAAGTAACACACCGCCATCATTAGTGGTTCCTCCCTTGTGACAAGTGGCGGCAGCTTTTGGCAAAAAAAAAAGGCATCGGTCAGCTGGCGGCGAACAAGAGAGAGGAGCTTGGAATAGAATTAGAGCTTAGTATCATACATTTGTTTTTCTATTTAAAAATACCTCTATTAGAACTAGAGAAGTTATTTTTTTTCATTCTGCTTTAAATTTTATTTTTGCAGGTTTAGTCATTGGTACCATTGTATTAAGGATCATTGGTGTTCGAAATTCAGCCGTTGTAATTGGACTTTGGCCAGTTCATTATGTTTAGACATGCTTGTGTGTGGCAAAGTATGTTTTCTCCCCTCTAACATATCATTCTTCTACATGCCCTTTTCCACTATAAACCTCTGGCGTTCCCACACTATCAATGTGCATAAAATATAATAGTGCCTCTAAGATGGGGGAGAATAATTTTATTTTTTTGATAAAGGACTATACTAATGTTTTCTAGGATGTACTAACAACTAGAGGACCTGCTTTTCCATTAACAACCCCTTCATTTTAAGTCACCCCAACCACTAATTAAACTGATAATCATGTATATATACCAGTTTCAGAAAATTACCAAATTATGATATTACTTGAACCTTTTTCCATTTTATAAGATTTTAATGCAGTGGGAATATGCAAAATGGTTTGTCCTTTGATAGAAAGGAATTTGTACCAGTTGAGTAATATATGGTACCTTGGGATCGAATATGGCATAAAATGCTTAAGAAGAATTAGTCCTTGACATTCCTATACATAATGATTTCATCAATGATTCAATGGCCTTTATGAAACCAACCATGTTGCTAGGGAAGTCAAACTTTTTCATATTTTTTATTGAAAAGGTTGAACTCTCAAAGTTGGAATCTAGCTATAATGTTGTGGTTGAGGGGCATTGCCAAAATGGTAATACTATTGAACAATGTACTAAAAGGCTCAGTTTGCGGTTGTAAGGCTCAGTTCTTTGGTGGACATCCTTTAAAATTAACCTCATTCCTTTCTCACTCTCTTCTCTTGACCAATATCATTATATTTTACGTCACATTCTTTCTCTCCTTCTCTTGCCCCTTTCAGCGCTATTTTTTAGTTTCTTGTTGGTGTTATGCTTGTCTTTCATTGCTTTTTGCTTGTAACTTGAGTTTTTACATTCTCATTACAGAATATGCAAACTACAGGGCAATGATGGTAATGAGGGAAAGAGATTTTATCACCATAACACATAAGGATCAGCGTCAAAACCAGCCTATCAGCATGGTGTATAAAATTGTTTCAGATTTTATCACCGTAACACATAGGAATATGTTGTAACTTGTTTGGTATTAATGAGCTTTAGTTGGTATTAAATAGGATGCACTATTTTTTAAAATGCTTAAGATTTAATACATTGGTATGAATAAAATATGACTTTCTTTTGGTTTCAAGTGGCACGATAAATATCTTATTTTGTACGGAGTAAGAGTTAGAAAGTTTAAATATCTTAAATGCTTTTCCAACATTGGGCACTATCACCTCGCGCATTGCGCACACATAACCAATAGAATTATAAATGCTCCGTTAACATCTTGTGGTAACCGCGTTTTATTTTTAAAAGTGTTTTCTTTTGGTCTGTATTCTGTGCCAGAGCAGAATATATCATATGTCACGCCCCGGACCTATCCGGACACGTCAACAATCCGCCGTACAGTACGAATAGTCAACCGCAGTCCAACACATTCATACTATACAAGGCGTCTGGGATATCATTCACACATAGTACATCCATAAACAAACATAATGTAAAATATTCATTCAAAGTAGCGGAAACATTTAATACAAGTGTTCGTGCCACACTTTGGCAAACATGGGCATACAAGCCCCCAAATGATTATTCAAAATGTAATATCCATGATCATTAATTTAAATGTTTTTAAAACAGGAACGGAGGAAGCACGAACCACGTCTTCCTTCCTTGAATTCACCCGGAGCAACGGGCACTGGTAGCAAGCTCAGCTCCTACCTGAAACTGTGAGGTGGCCTCCCCCGTGAAGGGGAGGTCAGTACTTGGAAGCATTTGACAAGTACAATGACAACTATACTAAGTATAATCAATGTTTCAATTTCCAAGACCCTCAATCTAGGGTGTTATTATCTCATGATTAACTTTGTTCGTTTAGTGTCATCTCATCATTCCTTACCACGGTCTAGAGCCCAGCTCAATAATCACCGTTACCTACTACGGTCTAGAGCTCAGCTCAATAATCACCGTCATCTACCTCGGTCTAGAGCCCAGCTCAATAATCACCGATAACTACTACGGTCTAGAGCCCAGCTCAATAATCACCGTTATCTACATCGGTCTAGAGCCTAGCTCAATAATCACCGATAACTATTACGGTCTAGAGCCCAGCTCAATAATCACCGTTATCTACATCGGTCTAGAGCCCAGCTCAATAATCACCGATAACTATTACGGTCTAGAGCCCAGCTCAATAATCACCGTTATCTACATCGGTCTAGAGCCCAGCTTAATAATCACCGATTCTTTACAATTCAATTTCTTAGGATCCATTCATCCATTATTCAACTACAATTCCAACTAATATTTCAATACTAGTTATTTACTCATTTCAATGTAATTCTTCATTCAATATGTAGTTTGACCTTAATATCAAAAT